AAAAAAAAAAATCAAGACCAAAGTCAGTATAATTATTCAGCTAAGAAAAAAAATGGTAAAAATAACCATCAAAAAGAGAAAAAATGAATAAAGCTAGGTCATGAAGGTCATCAAACAAACAAACAGAAAACCCAAGGACAATTAAATGTTAAGGAAATGACAATGGACCATTCATTTAAGTATGTTTGCTCAATACGAATGCGGAACGAGAAACCGGACCTAAGATGATGATGATTAAATCCAAAACAGTGTTTTTATGTGAAGGAAATTGTTTTCCTTGGCCTCATTCCAATCATCGAGCAATAGTGAGGGCGGAGGGTTTAAATAGAAAAAAAAAATAAACGAAAAACTATCATTGCGGAACTATGACCCTTGTCGTCGTCATGAACATAAAAGACGGAGGAAATTTTTTTTCTGGTTTTTCATGTGTTTATCAATTGATGGAAAGAAACAGTACCATTAGACAAAATAAACGAGAAAACCAAAAAAAAAATGCACCAACAAAAATGATTCGAAGGTCAAAGGTTGTTATATGGTGAATAATAATAATAAACCAATGGAAGTGGTGATGATTATGATGATCTTTGTATTCGTTGTATATACTCTTGGATGGGGAAAAAAATTTTCGGTTTATTTTCAGAGTATGTACAATACAATACAACAATGGATAGTAGTAGGATTTTTAACGTGAGCAGACAATACAAATAAAAATGAATGAAACAAAAATATGGATAAAAAAAATAGAATAGATGGATGAATGAGAACCAAAATACATTATACATTATTATATTCGACCGAAAAGAAAAAGAAGAAGAAAAAAATTGGAGCAGCAACATAGAAATCAAGACACAGTCAAAAAATAAACGAAAGAGAATCGAGGTCAAAGTCTCGAATCTCATCATGTGTATGTGTGTGTGTGTGGTGCAGATGAAGATCATTGAGATGAAGAAGATGATCATCATCATCATAATGATGATGATAATGATTATCAGAAAAAAAAGAGAATGTGATATGTTTATTAACAAAAAAAAAAAAAAAACATAATAACCAACTAAGTATGATGGAATTTTGGACATTTTTTTCATATTCATATATTCTTACCAGACGATATCAAATATATTATCAATTATGAATGTGTGATATGAATTAGTAAATCTTTCAAGAAAAATAAAAAAAGATTCCAGTTGTAATTTATGAAACATAACAACAAATTCATCAAACATACACTAATGATCATTGGTAATGATAAAAGCAAAGAGAAAAACAAGCAAAACAAGGGAAAAAATATGAAAATTGGAACAACAAAAATGCATAATTAATTGATTTTTGTTTTAGTACTTTTTTTACATTTGTATTTGTATTTGATTGATTGATTGACTGATAGCAAAAAAATAAATGAAGATCATCAATTTATGATCAGGTTTTGTTTTTTTTTCGGTGTGCAAAAATCAAATAGTCACGAAACGATTCTTTGATTTAGATTCCATACAACAGGAAATTATCCAAAACTAGATCAACATTTTTTGTTTTGTTTTTTTTCATTTTCATTTTCATTTGAACCAAATCTAAATATTATATTCTTTCATCATCATTACCGGTAAATGAATGACTAGTTGTATTTTCATTTTAATTATCTATCATATGCAAATTTTTTATTTGTATTTTTTTGAATTTAATGAAATGGAAATCAAAATCAAAACAACAACAATAACAAAAGAGCTGAAAACAAAAACAAAAATGGGACAAATATTGTTCTCATTAATTAGTTCGTTTGCCTTGAAAAAATGACACACACACAATGTGAATGAATTTTCCGGTTGAAAATCAAAACATAAATGGTCATATACTATATGGTCATAATATGATTTATCATAAGCGAAAAAAACGTTTAGAATAAATAGATCATAACATTGAAAGATGAAGAAAACAATATGGAAAATAAAACTCAAAGATTTTGGGAAAAAAAATTGGACAAGTCCATTCGCCAAATGTTTATATTATCAATCAAATAACATTTTCTATATTGTTTGCGTATTTTCCATATGTTTGAAACACACAAGGGATTCTGGATTCTACTTCTGAATTCTCATTAATATACATGGTATATA